TGGCAAAAACAGAATTAGTAAATTAGTGATGAATCACCCTCATGCATGAGTCATACACTGATAACAACCTAATTGTATTCATTATCAATACAAAAGGAAGATGCAGAAAAGTAGTGCATGGACAAAAGACAGCGCATTGTCAGTAATTTAGAGACTCCTCCAAAATTTCACAAATCCAGTTTCAGAGGCGCTGACACCCCTGTAGGCATGACTCTCCTGAGCTCTGACAAACAAGAGAAAATAGTCCTTTACGCTTTCATAATGAAAACATTTCATAAGCAAATAGAAAAGCAGAGCTGTTCTCTCCTCTGTGTACAGTAGCCTTCAGTGGAAATTCCGACATGTTTAGCATACATGTTACATTAAGCTAACAGCAGACATTTGCATTTTAGGATGCTGAAAGCATTTCGTGCTTCTCCACTATTGATATGATATGCTGAAACAATCCTGTGCTGATGGAGATGATTAATGACCACAGTGTAGCTCACTGCCTCATATCATTTATTGTTCATTTACTCACGTAAAATATATGTTTGCTCATAAATAATAAGTATAAGTGCAATCTTTTCTTTTTTCAGCAATGCAATTCTGACTCATGTCTAATAATAGAAAATAACACAACCCGAGTTAAAAAAAATGTCAAACCTGACAATGCACGCGTCATGTACACTATAAAACAGGGATGGGTAATTAATTTTCCCTAAGAGGCTGCATGGAAAACTGGGACTGTTGTGGAGGACCCTGTGCATGTGCATGGCCTTCCACAACAGTCCCTGTTATAAAACATGGACTTAGTTATTATGATGTCATTGGTTAGTGAAGTATCGTAATAAAGCTTCATTGAGGTTTTGAAACAGGAGACATTGAGTAAAGGGTGTATCTGGGACACTGCACGTTGATTGGCTAACAACTTGTCAATCACAAGTCATTAGCCAATGAGCACACTCTCCTTTCTGACACTAAATGACCAAAGCTTTATTCAAAATGACTGGAAAAGAGTCACTGAACTGGCAACCACTGAAGAGAATAATTAGTAACTGCTGCTTTGGCTTTACTTCTCAGATTTCCAAATGTGCTTATCACTGGTCTATACAGTGATTATCCCAGATAGTTTGTAAGATGTAGACTAATATAAATGTTGATGCAGCATTTAGGTGAGATCTTGCTATAAGTAGCTATAAGTAATCTTTTCATTGCAACATTGAAGTATGAATCAACATTTAGAAACAAAAAGTTCTTTCTTATCTTCTGGTAAAATGCCTACAACATGTCTGTAACAGAATTTAAATTATCTGTCAGTGTGGTCCTTTCCAAAGAAAACCTCTGAACAGGAGTGACTGTCAGTGACTGTAATTAACTCTCATTAAGGTACAAACTTCTTCGACAGTCTGCAGACTGCAGGAGGCCATATGATGCGACACTAAAGTAGCTCCTGCACACTTCAATAAATCGTGCTGTGTAACACAAAGTGGAAAGCACAAAGTTTGAACTATCAATCAACTTTAGAAATCAACTCAAAGCACAGCAGAGCTCAACTAATGCTGAAGCTGACAAAACAAATCTTACACTGATGAAAACTGAGCCCGAAAAGCTCCCAAGACAAGTTCAAAAGTAACTTGTCAAAAATGTCCACCAACAGCCGGATATAGGAGTTCACAACATGCCCTTACCCTGGTGCCACTGAATCTTTGTGTTTAAGCCCTAAGATGCTTTTTCATGTGTTTAGATTTTGATTATTTTTTGACCATTATAGGAGGAAGATGAGAAGTCTCAGTTTCTCATTGTTACTGGAGCAAACTCAATACAGTTGTGTGTCAGCTCTGTGTTTTCGTCTTTCATGGTACTTTAAATATCAGAAAGTACAGAATTTTCCCAGGAAATCAACACCTGATCGAAACAATAGTTAAGTAGTGTTCCTCTAACTACTGGTGGTACAATAGCTACATGGCTATTTATGACTTTTTTCATATAACTCCATCCATAAACCATCCATCTAGTCATCCATCCCTGCTTGTCTAAAGTATGATCACGTTAGCACCATGCTAACCAGATATTTTATGCTGTCCAGTTCTTCCTGGCAGATCCCAATGGGCCAGAAACCTCCGGGCTCACTTTGGGGTCTCCCCCCAGTGGGGCCGACCCAGAAAACCTCCAAGAGGAAGTGCCCATGAGGTATCCAGATCAAAAGCATAAACCTCCTCAGCTTACTCCTTTTGATGACTGTGAGCACCTCACTATATATAAGTGGTGCTTATACTTGCAGATACAGACAGCTGTACACAGCATGGATGTATGTACTATTGTAGGGTCTACCTTACAATATAAAGCACCTTGAGGCGATTGATGTTGTGATTTGGCGCTGTATAAATAAATTGAATTGAATTGAATGAGTATTTATTTGCTTTACAGCTCTTTGAAATCTGCTTGAACTCCACCTGAAGGGTGCATGCGTTATTGGCGAAGTGTAAGCTAATATCTCATTGTCAAGTCCACATGGTCACAAAAACTTGGGATGTATCTATGGGCATTATCTGCCTCACTGTGATACTAAAACTTACGTCATTTGCACCCAAGTGGACCTCGAGATGCCTCAAAGGCTGAAACCAGCAGCTCTACAAAGGAAACTCATTTCAGCTTCTACATCCATCATCCAGAAACCTCCCACCCAACACAGAGCAAGCATCCACTGCTCTCCTGCAGTGGACCATAGCCCCAGAGTTGGAGGTGCTGACTCTCACCCCAAAGTGGAAACTAATTGGAGTTCCTGCATATCACAAACAGGATTGGGGACAAGCGGCAACAGTGACAAATTCCAGTACCCACAAAATGGACTGCACCTTTATTTTCTACTCTACTGGAGCCCTCACAGTTATTTTTTTACAACTTCCCCATTCCTAAGCACTTTTCTATTTAACATTCCCACTGTTCACCTATCACATATCCAAGGATACTTTGGCATGCAGATTGGAGCAGCCAGAGATCAAGCGACAAACCTTATGATTAGTAGATGACCTGCTCTACCTCCTGAGCAGAAGCCAGAAGCAAAATAGTTTTTGACATTGTGTCAAGGACTGAGACACAGATCTGATGGCCCTAAACTTCTGCAGAATCCCCCAAAGGACCAGGTCATGAGCTTCATCCAAGTTCACATTGTTCCTTCTTTCACACAGACATAACTACAAACGTAACAGCAGAGTGAAATCAAAGCTGAAGTTACGCAGCAAGAGCAGAGCCAATTACAAAGGTCATTTCAACAGAGATGAGTTTGAAAAGGTATTGTAAGAAAGGAAGATGTGAGTCAGATAGCTGGATAATCACAGCTTTGGCTTTCATTAAGCTGCTTTTGTAGAATGTACGTATTCACAGGATCTATATAAGATTTGATGGTTTTAATGAAAGGATTACGTCACCCTCAAGGACGACTGTGAGGTGCAAGAGAGTTAAAGAAGTCACCAGTTCTCACAAACAACCGGTGAGTCATTTCATGTGTTGAAACATTTCAGTCTTTAATTTATATGTATGGGTTTGAGATCATTTTGTCTGCAAACTGTGAGAGCTCCAACAGCTTTTCTGCAACAGTTTAAAACTTAAATCTTACGCCTGTACGAGTGCTTCCGCGACTCTGAGCAGATCAGCAAGAGCTTTAAAAGCAGAGCACGTCACTGGTAAGCGGGTACGTTAGGTCAGTCAGTTAATGTTTACACTGATGAAGCCTTGCGCTGACATATCCACACAGCGGTGCTCCATGAATCATGAAATAGATTATTAGACCTCGTCTCCTTTTATTGCGGGTCTGAGAAAACCACAAGAATGCCTCAGGACAGACTGTATGTGCAGTAGGGAACACTGCTGACCCATCAAAGCTCGTGTAAAAGCGTGATCGGCTTAGAGTGTAAAAAAAATCTGTTTCTGTAATTCTTGAAATGCAGAGAGTGGTCATTGTTAATCTCTTTTTATTCTTTCTCATCACAACTTCTTCTGCTTGCTCGTGTTATCTCTTCCTTTGTGTGTTTGCAAACGTTAAATTGTGACCTAGAGGGATTTGCATTTTGAGAAGTATTCATATATAGTATTGCAGTGCGACTATGTTATAGAGGCAACATTTTACATCCCTTTGTTAATTACTTGTGACTTTTTTATAGGGAGTATATTTTTGTTCCTTTATGTGTTATTAAGTTTTATGCTCTAATGCCACTTTATCCTGAATGCTTGAATGAACAGTTTCATAAAAACAAAGATCTCTCGATAAACGTCTGTAAAACAAACATTTTATGCAGAAAAAGAACGATTTGTTAAATTTCTTTGAGATCTTAACTCACATTCCCTTTCAAAGATTTAGAGAAATCCTGTACCATACCAACTCTATTTACACAGTGCTTTAAAAGCAAAGTGCTGTAAATAAAAATGAATACATCCATTTCAACGATGAAGAATAAAAACAACAATAATAAAATAAAAGCAGAAACAAACCACAATAAAACAACAGAAACAACTAAGATCATTGTCACATGCTGGGTCAAAAGTCAGAGAGCGCAAATGTGCTTTAAGACTAGTTTTTAAAAAAGGAGAATGTAGGTGACTGTCTAATGTGCAAAGACAATTGATTCCATAACCTAGGTGCGCCAATAAAGAATGCTCAGTCCCACCTGAGCTTCAACTTAGATTGCTGTATATGTAGTAGCAACTGGTCACATGACCTGAGAGTGCAGGGGTAAGGCGGCTCCAAGCCCTGAAAACGACAGGCCCAAAGCTAACGGGTGATGTCAGGGTACTCTATACTTGTGATGAATGTTTTTTTCTTTTCTTTGTGTACAGAATTAACAAATGAGATATTATGATTACAGATGCAGTATGTGTAGGCGAGTTAGTGTTTGCATGCAAACCTGAAAAAGGAAGTCCAGTGAAGAACAAGCAAACTCAATACTGACCAGGCTGTGTGGTGACAAATGTGCAAGCCTGTTGTTTTAAAAGAAACAGACAAAAAACAAAAAAAAACACACCTTGCTGGCGCCTGGCAGTAGGTGCAACTTGACGTAGGGATCTGACAGCCCATTGTGGTCCATTGGCTTGAGCCCCTGTGAAAGAAAAGAAGAATCATGGTAATAAAAATGACATTTAGCACTTCCTTGTTTTGAACACTACTCCTGTTTTTGACAGTCAAATTTCCACCGGTGAAGATTTCCCAAAAATTAGGGATCTTTTAAGGAGCTCAGGGCATTGCAGGATTAAATTATATTAAACTGGAATTATTTTACACCTCTTTTTGGAGGGGATACTTTTTGAAAATTCTGAAATTTTTGGGATGTTTCCTGCAGCAACATTATAAATTTGAATTATCAGAACCCTGACGCATTTTAACTATATCACAGTCAGTACCACATTAAATCCATTTGCTTACTTTATGTCTACTGATTCAGGTGATTGAGTGAAAGCAGGAACAGAGCTAGGATCCCTTTTACCAAGCAGTAAATCAGCAACAGAATGAATCAAATCTTATTCATACTACACTGTTTTGCAGTCTTACCGCCCCCTGAGTCATATGGTGTCATTTTGCCTATTCTTCTGCATTACCGCCACATACTGTGCCGGAGTAGATCAATGTGTCAAAAAGACCAATGAAGTGTAAATAGGCTGCACTGAAAATTCATACAACCGTTTGTCTGAAGGAACATTTTAAATAGTTTCAGTCTAATAGTCTCAGAAAAGTTTGAAGAGCTCTTTTGATGGAAAGTGTAAAATTCACCATACTCAGTGAGACAACAAGCTACAATCCAGCAACCGATGCAGTTACTTCAATTGTTTTTATTTAGGTGCTCAAAGTTGCTCATTCATGCTGTCAAAGCTGTTGGAACATTACTGCAGTGTAAATGAAACACAGGGGGAAAGAGCCAACTAAGGGGCCGTCTGTGAATACTCTGTGAATACTCTTTATGGAGGTGATCCAAAAGTTTATGATTTGCTCTCTGGAAGAAAAATGATATCCAATAATCCAGTAAAAGGGAAATCTCTGAATATGTTGCTAAACTAGCATGTAAATATGCAAAATCACAAAAATGTAAAAGCTGCATGCTCTGAGGATGAGAACAGACCATGAAGACCATTAACATGTCTTACCGAAACCTGGAAATCTGCAAAAATCTTCTGCATGCTGCTTCTTACACTTTTAATCATTGCATAAAATCCGTAGTGCCTGAGAGATCCAGCGCAGTGCCACATCAGCTGGAAGGTTGCTGAGGAATGCTGAAGGGAACTTACTAAAAAAAGAAATGTTTTATTTCTTTGAAGAGCAAATCAATGAGGCTTAGAGAGAGCAGGAGATGTAAAGGCCACTCATTCAATGACCAAAGCAGGACAACACCGCACCATGTGGGTGCCCGCTTCATGAAGTGAAAGGACCTAAAGTGTTTCCTGAATCAAATGCGGTACGAACACAAAGAAGAAGTTAAAACCTCAAGCAAGTCGTCTTTGACCTCCTCTGGAGACGGAACTGTTCACACTGCCGACTCCTCCTGAGATAAAAGTTTAAACTGAAGTCCTTGAAGTAGCTGAGCAGCAGTTTGGATATTTTTTTTTTTTAACATCAGCATCAATCGTATTCACGTTATTAGGTTTCATTAAAATCTGACCAGTACACTCAGAGAAATAGCAATTCTTGTGAGAAGAAGGGTGGATTCAGCCTAAATAATGCTGGATTCCATATTATTTTCATTTTTTCAGGTTCCTCTTCTCGAGCAAACTCTCACTATTTGCAGTTTTCAATTCTAATTTTCCACAAACTTTGGTGGACAGATCAGTGGGTTGATCTATGGGCCTTTTGAAAACATGCACACAATAAGCCTGCACGAATCCTGCACGACACAATCCACGAGATGATTAAAGTTTGGTTGCTGCGTTGTTTTGAGGCCTGAGGAAGTACCCCCAAGGATATTATACATCAGATTTTCAGTCTGAGTGACTATCCTCATGACTAAACTGACCTTTATGTGTAAAAGGAATGGAAATCCCTTTAAAATTGAACTCTGGATTTAGTTCATAAAGTTGAGATTTAGAACTGATCAAAATCGAAGCAGTGGAGAAGATGTCCTGGTAACATTTTTAAAAAAAAAGATGTATTCTTTTGCCTTAAGCTAAAAAAAAAAAAAAACACATCACAATTTTAATCCATAACAGAAAAACAAGAAAATATCAGGACTGAACTTTGATTAAATAAATATCAGCAAAACGTGCTTGTTTTCCACTCATTAAGCTTCAAGTTTTACTTTATTTTTTCCAAGACAAAATGGATTAAAGCAGCAAACATCACACTTAGTGCCTGAAAGCAATCCCCCTCTAAGAGACAAGTACAGTCTAATAATGATTGCTACTTTGACATTACAGTTTGAATCTGCAAGGCTATTATCTCTTACTGAAAAATAAGAAAATAGGAAGTCCAAGGTTATTTTTTTTACTTTTTTGAGGTGCTCTTTCTTCTACATTTTAATGAGTAGCTCATAGGAAGGCGTATAAGCTTGATATCAGCAGTTCTGTCTACGGTTTTCATCAGTAACTAAAGACTCTTTTGCCGTAAATTGTCCTTCCTGTAGTCGTTTAGTAATCATGCAGGAAGAAAATAAGGAGGAGTCTCTTACAAAAGTTAATCGTCTGAAATTTCTACTCATGTGAAATTATCTGTGACTCTTCAAAGAAACAATTTCACCTGTGTGATTGCCGAGCACCGGTTTATTTTAAAAAGTGTAATATTCAGTATATTACAGCTTGTTCCAGAACCATCTGAAAATGTGCTTTTTATTCCCCAGTTCTTCTGAATATCAGCTGCTTATAATGACTTCAAAGTATACATTTCACACAAAAAAGTCTCTATATTAATGAAGTTATTAATATACAAGAATTATTGTTTAAAGTGTTGTTTCTGTCTTAACCAATACGGTGCAGGGTTTGCACCAAAAATAAGAGTAATGACAGATTAGAGGATGCATATGTACATGTCAAAGACTGCTGAAAAGCCAGTGGAGGAAACGGAGAGGTCCGCAGCATCACTTCCTTTTCACTCAACCAGATGAGTCATGAGCTCGCATCTTCATTCGGAGAGAAAAGTATCCGACATGCAACAACAGCTCACTGGATTTATAACCAATGATGCTAATTACCAAGACCCATGGCTTTATTCATATTAAAAATAGGAGGCCTGGCTCTAGTGAAGGCAGTCCATGACTGTTAGTGTTCAAATGTGTTTTTTCTTTTTGTATCCAGGCATGCTGTTACTGCATTGACGGTGTGTTTGGAATCATTGTCATCCTGAAAAATAAAGCTGCTGCTAATCAGATGCTTTCCAGATGGATCAAAATCTGATGTTACTTTTCCGAGTTCATAATTTCATGAGTTTTAAGAAGATCCACAACACCACAGGCTGATATGTAGCCCCAAACTATGACAGTGCCTCCACCGTGTTTTACAGATGGATTCAGATACCCACTGTAGCCTCTTTCTCCTGATCTCCTCTGTACATACTGATGACTTACATCAAAACATTCAAAGTTGATTAATCTCTGCATCAGACCTGTTTACACTGATTTTTCAGTCCAGTTCTTGTGAAGTTTGGCATAACTGTTACTTGTACACAGCATCAAACACGCTAACTTCATAGCACTGACTCACTTTTCAAGCTAGCCCCAAGTGGCTGCTAAAGGAATTGCAGTTGCTTAATTTTAAAGCCTGTGGAGATTGCTGCTTGGTTTGATATAATGCCACATTCAAAGGCTGGTTACTCAAGTTTTTATTTAATGTTGCTCTTGGTGCATAAATGATAGAAAATAATTAAATGTAAGGTCATAAATAAATGTGTATTTTTCAGACCATAAGGAGCACCGGATTATAAGGCACACTAAGCAAAACAAAACACAATCAGTTAAGTCAAATTTTACAAATTTGAATGACTAACCTCGTATTGTGGATGGATTACCTCAGTTGTTCTCCTGACTGAAGTTTGGTCCATTTACAGCATCCTGCCATGCGATTGCATTTGTCCCTAACCATCGGGAACCCTCACGTTAACTTTTATCGAGTGGAAAAAAGTTAGCGTTCATCCTCCAGCTTCACTGTGTTTATGTTATGCTAACATAGCTGTGTCGCTAGCGATCACGTAGCACATCATTATATACCAGCTAGCCCAACTTCAGTAACCCTACAAACGTCACTGCTGTTTAGTTTTCTGTCTTCATTTATGTTGGAAGTGATAGCAGAGCTGTACGTTTGAATTTTTCAGAAATCTCTCAGTCAGAACATGCTATATCATGTTTAGGTGGAAACTAGCGAGCTAACTTCCTGCTAACTTAACTCAGTTAAATTTAAGATAAGATAAGAATAAAACTTTATTAATCCCTCGGGTGGGTTCCTCTGGGAAATTCGACTTCCAAACAACAAGACAAGTACATTACAGATGAATACACAACACCACACACCACACGAAAAAACAAATATATATATTAAGATAAAATTACTTAACTATATTTTATTTATTATATATTTATAAATTTGATATAAGAATATTAATAAAATAAATAGTATAGATAATAATAAACAACACAACTATAAAACACACACAAACAAACCATGGTAACACACACGTAATCATAACAGTAATTGTATAATATACTGAACTATATAAATGTCCTAATAATTATATACGATCATAAGCATATATATGACATATATATAATATCATATATATAATTAATATGATAAACATATAATATAATAAATAAAACTCAAAAAGAATAAAATATAAAGCCCAATACTCTATACCATCATACAATATATAACAATATATAATTTACATATATACATATATACAATATTATATAATTAATTTTACATATCATACATACATAATACACTACACATATCATAATGATACAATATATATAGAACAATATATACGATATATATCACATACTATCACATATACCAATATATGATCACAACATTATATCATACATACATAATAATACAAATAAACATAGCAATATACTCACTAGCTACATACATGAATACATACAACTACATACTATATACATAG